CCACCCTCTATGGCGAAGATTTCCAGCACTACCACAAGCTGCCTGTCCAGTCCCATATTCTAGGGCTCTAGTCACAGACTGACCCATTGGTCATCCCAGAGCAGCTCCTCCACCTGGTGGACCACTGATTGGTGACTGCTATTCTAAGCCAAACATAGACACTCATGTATGCAATTTATCATTTTTAATTTTAGCCTGTTTACTAATGGTCTATTTCTAATTAAATTATTATTTAGCAAAAATGCTGGTTCTGTTGCAACATTCATACTGAGTTTTAAATTATGGATGGGCTCATTTACAAAAACAGTTGTCCTACAGAATGGAAAGTTTTAACTTGAAACAAAAATGTAATAGTATAATGCAAAAGGCAAGTTCACAGTTTGGAAAACTGTTACCTCAATATCTTTATTGGGGTTTTTTAATTAGTGGCAATGTCTGAAAAAAATTATTCAACCATTTAGATAATTTTGTTCAGTGAAGAAAAGTGAGAGGCACAGCTAATAAACAGATATTAGGACTGCATAGGGTGGATAAAAATTGACTTTAAAAAAAATCCAAAAAAATGGATTTTTAAAATTTAAATCAGATTTTTTAAAAATTTAAATTGGATTTCTTTTATTTTTATCAAATTTTAATAAAATGCTTTCGGAATAAAAATCTATCTAAAGGTAGTTTTCTATTTAAGATACATTAATAATTTTGTTTATTCAGCATGAAATGGAACTTAGTTATGTAGCTGTATATTCTGAAATATTTACATTTTTGGTAAACTCATTAAAATGAATCCAAGCTCTGCAAGCTAAATAGGAAACCTTCGCTTTGTTTGCAAATAATAATACTAAGGATTCTAATTACCAGCAAGAATGAGTCCTTACATTTAAAGAGCACCTGTCATTTCAGATCTATCATGGCAGCGCCTGGTAGAGAGCATCCATTCACCTGCTGCCCGCCACGTCCCTCACCTTGTGTTACTGCTGCATCACCACCCATCCCATTAAAGTGAATGGGACTGTCAGTCAACAACGAGTCAGAGGAGGAGTTGCTGCTGGACAGAGATGACAGTTGCTCTTTAAAAATGATGATTTAAATCAAGTTGATTTAAATCAAGCCTTTTTACTAGTGATTTAAATCATGATTTAAATCGTGATTTAAATTGGCTTAATTTAAATCAAATCCACCATGACTGCAGCATTTAAAATTTTTAAAGAGCAACCATTAGCAGTGCCTTAAACCAAATGATTATTTTCCACAGTGTACTACAGATGTACGATATTAGGAAAAGATGTAACTGGTTTAAGGGGTTGCTCTGTAATTGTCTCAGTGTGCTCTAAAGGATCTTTTTCCTTTCAGAATCTCATAGCCTCAGTGTTGTTGCTTTTATAAAAGCAGCTCAGCAATTTTCAGTCTTCCATCTGTCCTGAAAAAAGTGCTACATTTCATAAAAGCAATTCTTAAAACCATAACTTTTTTTCAGGTGTGAACAAAGTGGCTGTTTTATTCAGGAGCAAAGAAAGTCTGAATCATTTGTGAAGCATGCACAGTCTTGGTACTCATAGTGCCTTTCCTGCCCAGTGTCAAAACAAGTTTTAACCTGCCTTCTTGTGCCAAATAGGATGATTGAAAATGGCTATTTTGGGGGTATATGGTAAAATAAATTTATTAGAATGCGTGTCTCAGCCAAAATAACCCCAGGCTCTAGATGGAAAAATAAGGACTGATCATTTTGGCAATATGATTTTTCAACAAGTAATTATTGAGGGGGGAGTTATTATTCAAAGTGAGGCTGATAGTAGGGCTGATTATTTTCATAATGCTTCACCTTCCCAAAACGTCATAAATGCTAATCTCGATTACATAGTACCATGATGGCGAACCTATGGCACCAGCTGGTTTTCAGGTTTCCAGGGCTCCGGCACACGCGAAGACCAGCTGGCCGGTGCACATGCGCATGCCAGAAACCTGAAGACCACCTGGCTGGCATGCACATGCACACCGGCCAGCTGGTCTTCGGGTTTCCAGCACTTCGGTGCTCTGGTACATCCGTGCGTTCCGGTTTGGGCCCTTGGTGCCAAAAAAAGGTTTAATCACTGACATAGGCTGTTGCAAATTTATAGTGTTATCAACAAAGGGAATATTTGTACCTGATGGTTGGCATGAGGAGTCCTTGGTGGTCTCTGATCTTAGTTGTTTTCTTGCAAACGTTTCATTACCCAAGCTAGGTAACATCATCAATGCTAGTTTGGGTAATGAAACATCTGCAAGAAAACAACCAAGCTTAGAGAGCACCAAGGACTCCTTATTACAGTATTTTCCACGGTTGCATCTGAGTAAGCCTATTGTATATGCATTGAGAGATATACAAGGAGACTGAGTAGAATTAAAATAAACTCTGGCTTGATTGTCAAATCTACTTTGGATTTAAATAAATTGGGATTAACTGAAGTATTAAAAAATAATTAAGGCCATTTATAGCAGTTATAGCAGTTATAGCAGTTAGACTTATATACCGCTTCATAGGGCTTTCAGCCCTCTCTAAGCGGTTTACAGAGTCAGCATATTGCCCCCAACAATAATCCGGGTCCTCATTTTACCCACCTCGGAAGGATGGAAGGCTGAGTAAAGAATTAAAGAATCTATGCTATCTTGAGAAAGTTCAGATGCCTATCAGAGAATGTGGATGAATAAAACAAGTTGCCAGCATATGATTCTCTTGCTCTGTATTCTCTGTATCACTTTATTCTTAGTGTTGCTGAACCCAATTAGCCTGCTGTGACTTGAAAGCTCTCTTTACACTGGCTTCTTACAAAGTTAAAGATTTTGGATGTCTGCTAAAATCAGTTGGTGAAGTCCATTGTACATTTATTTATTGATTGTTAAAAATATTTTTGTTAGCTGAAAGAATTGCACATAGCACTTCCTCTTCCATTTTTTTCTCATAACATGTAGCTTGTAAGGGTGGCCAAAGGGTAATTATTTCCAAGTAATTCAATAGGTTTTTATAACTGAGGAAAGACAAAATAATTAATATTCATTTTGATTTAAAATTTCAACTATGAACCGTGGTGACCCATTGATTAGAGTGCAGTACTGCAAGGTACTTCTGCTGGCTGCCGGCTGACTGCAATTTGGCAGTTCAAATCTCACCAGGCTCAAGGTTGACTCAGCTTTCCAGTCTTCTGAGGTGGGTGAAACAAGGATCCAAACTGTTGAGGGCAATATGCTGACACTGTAAACCACTTAGAGAGGGCTATAAAGCACTGTAAAGTGTATGTCTAAATGCTATTGCTAAGTGCTATTATGTTTCAAAAGTTTTCTCATTCATTTTCTACAACAAAATGCTATGGGTTTATTTTACCTCTTAAGATTTGGAAGTAATTTTTATATAAATAATTGCCTATCTTCATGACAGCTTGTGATTGTTTTTTTACTTGATACTCAAATGAAGGATGACTGAATAGAGAGCCCCTCAAGGAAATAATTTCATATTCATACTTGAAATATATTTTCAATATTTGTGTATTTTGCTAATTATATATCAGATATTGTATCTTGGGGAAAATGAATGAGAAAATAAAAATGAATTATTTACACTGACTCAAATGCACTAATTAGATCCATTTCAATCTAATTTAAAATTTTGTTTTTGAATTGAATTGGCTTAGCTGTCCTTGTGAGTAGTTGTCAATTTTCATGAATATCTCAATTGATTTTGGCACTAACATTTATGGCATCATTTGTGGTGAAGAGAGAAAGATGGGATTATCATGTTGACATATCTTCAAACTGTTGGAAAATTTCTGCTTTGCAATGTAACACTTAAAGAATGCCAAAAGCAGCCTTATTTGTTCTACATGCCTTTTAATATCTACTTTTATTTACTGGGAATAAAGAATAATGATTCAGGCTAAATTTTATTTGGTATTTGATATACCATATTTTTCGGAGTATAAGACGCACCTTTTACCCTCAAAAGAGGCTGAAAATCTGGGTGCATCTTATAAACTGAATACAGCATTTTTTGCCTCCTGAAACCCCGCCTCCTTCATCAAAATGGCCCTGCAGAACCTTTAGGAGGCTTATAGAGTGCTCTTAGGGGCTGGGGAGGGCAGAAATGAGTGAAAAACAGGCTGTTTTCTGCTCAATTATGCCCCCCCCAGCCCCCAGGAACACACTATAAGCCTCCTAAAGGCTATGCATGCCCTTTTTTTGACAAAAACGTGCCCATGTTTGCAAAAAATGGGCCATTTTTTGTTCATTTTTGCTCCCCCCAGGAGCACTCTACAAGGCTCCTAAAGGCTATTTATGCCCTTAAAAAAAAAAAAAAAAACAGGCCCATTTTTGCAAAAAATGGGTCGTTTTTGGGAGATCTGCAGTGCAAAAACTTTTTTTAAAATTTGCCTCTTCAAAATCTTGTTGCGTCTTACACTCCGGTGCATCTTATACTCTGAAAAATATGGTACCTATATGTCCTAGCAGGTTCTAGAGAAGGCAGGCATGACACACTAATTTTTACAATAGATAGATTATATTTTACAAGAATATTGATGATGATATTTTAATGTGATTCTGAATCACTGAAATGTAGTCCTTCCTCAGTTAAAATTTTCAAATGTTAAACGTGAAACTAGACAGCTTTCCATTTTATGACTTTAGATTAATATTTGATTCTAAATCAAATGATCTCTCTTTTGAAATTTGTGATCAGTTTCATTTTTTGAAGAATAACCTTAAATCAGTGTTTAAAAATATTTTTCCAGTGAAATTAAAGGAAATGCTGATTGCTTTTATATACTATGTACTGCTTATTTAATATCCCAATTGTAGTTGTCCATGTTCCTAATGAATTGATCTTGAGAAAGTATTGAACTCCCTCTGCTCCTGTTCGTCATAAAACAAACAGATAATTGTAGAAAGTAGTATACCAGACACTATTTTAGACAAAATCATAGTTGATTGGCTTAGAAAAAAGATCTCTGACATAATTTTTTTCCCCCTTCTAGTTGCAAGTCATTGTTAAGAGATGGTTCAAGAAAATCTACCTCACAAATTCCGTTTGTTTGCCCATGTGCTGCATCATTGGAGATCTCAACAGGAACTTGTCAGTTATTTTTGAAAGTCTCAGGATAACATATGGACATCAATACAGGTCAATGTATTACACTCTAGGAATGGGCCAAAATATGAAGCATTCTCAATTCAGCAGGCCAATCTATTACCCATAAAGGTGTTAAGAACGCTTAACAACACTTCAAACAGTACTCTCTAGAGTTCTTAATTATTCAGGAAAGGTAGCTTGATCTCTTCTGAAATCAACTGACTTTCTCTAATCTTGTCTTGGAGATATTAAATGGAATGCAGTCATGTCTACCCATGAAGGAATACAGATCAACACTGACTATGCTGTCGCTTTGTTAGAACAGTTAAAATCATTCTATGAACAGCAATTGCTAACTGACATTGTTTTAATTGTCGAGGGCACTGAATTCCCATGTCATAAGATGGTTCTTGCTACGTGCAGCTCTTACTTCAGGTACGTATTGATCATAATGCTATTTTTCTAAGAAATATATATCCAATATATGTCTGAATAGTATAATTTATTAAGTGCATTCTACCACTAACTTGAAATAGATGAAGAATTAAATTATTAAACAATTTAAATTCAAGTTAATAAATATTGAAGAATTGAACTAAGAATGCATGTTAAGTGTTTCAGGGTTATTCACAACATGGAAGATAAAAATGGACATCAAATACATGAGGTTTATTTGAACATAGTCATATACTGAGGGAGGAGTAGGCAAATTTTTGGAATACCTGTGCATCCTTGGAATTTCAAAGCATCTTATACATCCTCTCAGAAGATAATTGGTGACATTTATCAAAGTTGTCCATTATATTACCTGTCTTTCCAGCTTAAGTTTACTCTTTTTATTGGGCAAATGAAATGTGTATAAATACAGCAATCCTCACCGACTCAAGTTTGACTCAGCCTTCCATCCTTCCAAAGTCAGTAAAATAAGGACCCAGGATCCAATATGCTGACTCTGTAAACTGCTTAGAGCTGTAAAGCTTTATGAAATGATATATGTCTAAGTGCTATTGCTATTCTCTAGTAACATATTTAATAATGTTTTTCCTCTGTCATGTAAAATTACAATTTAGTAATAGGTTTTGGAGTTCTGTGGAAACTCTTGAGATGGCATACAACTATAAGGTATTGTGTTATAAATGAAGAAGACAATAGTGTTTAAAAGAAATTTCAAAATGGTAAATCTTAAATCTATAGACAAATTGAAGTGGAAAATCTATATTGACTAGGGATAAAATGTTTTATAAGTACAGTTGATCAGTAGAAACAATTATCAGGCCAATTCTAAGGTTGAAAACAAACAGACTTGACAACAGATTCCCTTATTTGAACTAGAATGGGATACCATTAATACAATGTAAAACATTTATATCCATGAATTGTGAAGATTAGTATTCTCCAAAGTATATTAATAGCAATAGCAATATCATTTAGTCTTGCATACTTTTCCATAGTGCTTTATAGCTTTCATTGGGCAGTTTACAATGTAAACATTATTTGCATTTTGCCCCAACAATCTCTGTCCTGATTTTACCGACCTCAGAAAGATGGAAGATTGAGCCAGCCTTGTATCTCCCATCATGATCAAACTCCAGGCTGTGGGCAGAGTTTGCCTGCAATACTACAGTCTAACCCCATCACCATTTAAAAGAACATTCTGCATACCCTGAGATTATATAATGTATAGTTAGGAGATGGTGCTTAAAGCTTATCCACCTGCATGTCTAATAATTTTGTATAATATTTTGCACCGACATAGGCCCTCCTTCCAGTCATAGGGAACTGTAAAAGATAACTATAAAGTTACTTGATAAGCTTTGTTATGAAATAGCTGCAGTGGCTAAAGGCTTAAGCTTGGTCCATATATTCTGCATTGATTTGCAAGGTATTGGGATAGAATGTTTTTCTTCTATGGCTTGCTTCCTTGTAGAGGAAACTAGGCAAAGTATCTCTGGTAAAACAGATTCTACCTTTTTTTTCCAGACAAATTTTTAGTTTATTCAAAGAACGTCAAAATATAAACTGCCGAAAGAATAAAAACCACAATAAATAAGACACTGAAAAACAAAAGTATGTTAAAAATAAGAAAAGACTAACATATTTTTCTTAGTTGAATGCTGATTAATATAATACCTCAATGTTAGTTTCCCATCCCTTTCAAAATTCAAAAGAATTTTAAACTATTAAACTACTAATCTATTGTCAGATTGTTAGCCAGTCATGTGTATACTGTACTAATAACAAAATGGTTAACAGGGAAAATATATTTTATAAAATTATAAACCTAATAAAAATTATTAACAATAAAAGAAAAACAGGATTGAAATTCCAAAAACCTCTGTTAAAAACTGTTATTGTAATCAACTCATAGAAAATTTACCATGGCTTTAATCTCAAATTGTCTCAAATAATAACTAATCGGTCCCGGATCATATATCCACATGTGTTTCTTTATACCCTCTTTTATCAATTTCTGATTGATTGAATACAGTAAGTCCAATCTTCAAAGCCAATGTATCTTCCCCCCAAAAAACCCCAGATAAGATTATTCCTCAATTAAATATAATACATCAATTTCCCAATCTTCTTCAAACTCCTTTAAAAAAAACCTTTTGCCACTTTCATGCCACCCTGAGAGTTCTGTACTATTACATAAAAGCACAGTATTGAGGTTCAGGAAGGTGTATGAAGTCGACTGTTATTTCTAAGCTATATTTCTCCCTGACCGGTTTACTGCTGGAAAAAGTTTTCCATAGTCTGTGTTGCTTCTGAGTCTATTATTTTTGCCCCAAGGCTGCTACTTTTAAAACAAGTTCTTTTTGTGGGTTTAAAGTAGGATCGGTTTCTTCAGAACGTTTTCCACAATCTTTATGAGTTCATCAAAAGAGTCAGAAAAAAAAATCAGCTAAAGATTACATGTTCTACAGTCTCTGTCTACCTTTCCCTGTGTCAGCCTCTTCCTTCTCTTCATAAATGTTGCTCAATGGAATGGATAAATAAAACAGGGACCAAGCAAAGAAAACTGCGAATATATTTTCTGACTATTTTGGTCCCAAAACTTTTTTCAGGTTAAATACCTGAAAAAATACAAATCCAGACACTTGTGCCATGTTTCTATATGGAAAAGCAAAAATTGATAACAGCAGTCAAATAAAAAAAGAAAGCCAAAAAAACCAAACCCAGATGGAATCCAGCAGGGGTTGAAATAAATCAGCATTCAGCCAACCAATTAACCTTTAAAGATAACAAAGCTTTTCACAAGTGTGAAGTTAAAAATCCCAGACATGCTTAAGAAAACATTCTGCTGGTAGAAAGAGATGTAAAAAAGACCATTGATTTTCCGACTCTTCCTCAAGGAGCTGCAATCCATAAGATTATCCCTTCTGGGTGGGTCCACATCCATTCAAAAATCATCTTCGATTATTCCTAAGTCCGCATTCCAATCCAGGAGGCAATACTGCCAAAAATAAGTTCTGGCAGCAAACACAGCAGATCATGAGTAAGAGAAAGAAAGCTGTTACTGTTCAGCAGCCATCTTGGGAAGGAGTCAACAGATTCCAGCTTTCTAAACAAAAACTAGAAATATAATATGAACTAATATGAATAAAATTGAACAGCTCTTTATATAGGTAGTCTTTGACGTTTGAATACAAAGAAGCCCAAAGTTTCTGTTACTAAGTAAGGCAATTTGGTAAGTGAATTTTGCCTAATTTTATGACCTTTCTTGGCAAAATTGTTAAGTGAACCACTGCATTTAAGTTAGTAGCATGGTTATTAAGTGAATCTGGCTTTCTCATTGACCTCAGAAGATTGAAAAAGATCATCACATGATCCTGAAACTGCAACCATCATAAGTATGAGTCAGTTTCCAAGCTTCTGAATTTTGATCACATGATTTTGTGATGCTGCAATGATCGTAAGTGTGAAAAATGATCATGAGTTACTTTTTTTCAGTGCTGTAACTTTGAACAGTCACTAAATGAACTGTTATAAGTCGAGGACTACCTGTAATTAATTTTTGATATTCCAGGGAAAACAATAGAAACATTTTTCTATTTTAGCACTGAAAATGGTGTGTAATATTGAATGCTAACATTTCTAAACCAGAGTGAAAATGGGTGGTATATGGATATTATAGTGACTTTCTAAGTATGATTACTTTTCATGAGACAGTACAACTTGGAGTACACATTTTGAATTTTACAAGATATTCATTATGTTGAATGCTATCCCCATCCCGCAATTGTTTGGAGCAATTAGATAGGAATTAGTGATGGTTACAATATAATTTTTTTATCATCCAGGGCAATGTTTATGAGCGGGTTGAGTGAAAGCAAGCAGACACATATTCATCTGAGGAATGTGGATGCAGTCACTTTTCAGATTATAATAACGTATGCTTATACGGGTAATTTGGCAATAAATGACACAACAGTTGAACAGCTTTATGAAACAGCATGTTTCCTACAGGTAAGATTGTTTTATACTAACTTTTCTAAGACATGTTTTCCTAAGTTATATCTTTAATAAAATTGTATACTGTATTTAACAATAAAGTAACCTGCATGATCAGTAGGAAAAAATGGAAACAAATCTTGAAATTCCAACTACTACCCCTCTGTTTAAATAAATAATTATTGTGCAGTTTTAGATGCCTATGACTCACAGTAAAATGTCATGACATCTTTTCTCCTGTTCATACAGAGATAATAGAAAAATATTGCTTACTGAGATGTTAATAGTCTTTTCAGTAATACAAATGCAGTGGAAAATACCTTTGTTGGTACAGAAATTCATTGTGACCAGCTAAAATTTCATAAAAGAGTAGACATTCTTGTATTAATTTCAATTGTTTGAGTAAAGATAAGAACTCTAAGGTTCACCTCTTTGAAAGAGATTTTTAGAATGTGCAGAAATGTGTATAAGATTTTTTTCTTTTAAAGCAGCTGTGTGGTTTTCCAGGCTTCATTGTTTTCCCATCAAAGCAAAGTGAACATGCATGTATCTGTATGCAGATTAGGAGCAACATCTGCACAGTTGTATTCACTAGAACAGTGGAAGGCATTCACAGAAGTGAAGTCAGACTTTAGAAAGCACAACTGGGATATATTGAAGCACACCTCAAAATGTAAAAACAACCATGTTCTTCAGTAATCTCAATATAGTTTCTTTGAAGGTTTCCTCTGGTTGTTCAGTGGGACTGGAAGTACCATATTTTTCGGACTATAAGAACCCCCCCCCCCCAAATGTGGGTGGAAATGTGTGCATCTTATAGAGTAAATGTTGCTGAAGCCCTGCCCACTTGCAGACCCCCACTCGCCGGCCTCTGCCTCCCAATAATTTGCCTCCTTGCAGCAAACAGCCTGGTCAGTTTCAGCATAGCCTGATTTAGCACAAGCAGCTGATTGGCTTTTGGATCTGCCTCCGGAATACAACCGATCAGCTGTTCCAGGCTGTGGGGATCACCGGTGCCCATCACTACTGGTGCCTATCACCTCTGCCACCTATCGCTGCCTCCAAGCTCCCCATATTTGGCCTGTTCCAAGCGACGGGGATAGGTGGCGATGGTGGCGATCCCTGCCACCTGGAATGGGCTGAAAACAGGACACATGGAGGCTGAAAATGAGATTGGGGAGGCTGAAAACTGGACGCACAGAGACCAAAAAGGGGGGTGGGGGTTGAAGGTGGCAATAGGTGGCAGCAGCGCCGATGGGCATCAGCAATCCCCACAGCCTGCTCATCAGTGGTATTCCGAGAGGCAAATCCAACTGCCAATCAGCTGCTTGTGCTAAATCAGACTGTGCTGAAGCTGACCAGGCTATTGGCTGTTTGCTGCAAGGAGGCAAATTGCTGGGAGGCACCTTGTTTCCTCCCCAAAAGCTAGGTGCATCTAATAGTCCGGAGCGTCTTATAGTCTGAAAAATATGGTAAATCATTATATAGACATGAGCACAGATGTCCTGTAACAGTTCAAGAAAAGGTGTTTTGCTTGTATTTCACAATATACTTTGTGAAGTTTCTTTTAGATACTTTGAATAGTATTTATTACTTCTTAGTAATCAATTTGGTCTCAGAAGAAAATTTTGATAGTTTCTCTTCTTTCAGTAATCCGCTAGCAGTAAACAGTCCTAGATTAATATGTGACATCCACTATTTGGTATATAACAGAGAATAGAAATTAGGGAAGATTTCTTTCCATTTTTTCATCATTAACCACAAGTATGAAGATAATGAAATGTTTTGATCACTTCTCACATATATATATTTTTTAATTGCAGGTCGATGACGTGTTACATCAGTGTAGGGAATATTTAATTAAAAAAATTAATGCTGAAAACTGTGTGCGGCTTTTGAGTTTTGCTGATCTTTTTAGCTGTGAGGAGTTAAAACAGAGTGCTAAAAGAATGGTGGAACACAAGTTTACAGTTGTATACCACCAAGAGGCTTTCATGCAGCTCACACATGATTTGTTGATAGATATTTTGAGCAGTGACAATTTAAATGTGGAAAAAGAAGAGACAGTTCGTGAAGCTGCTATGTTGTGGCTGGAATATAATACAGAATCCCGATCACAGTATTTGTCATCAGTTCTTAGCCAAATAAGAATTGATGCACTTTCTGAAGTTACACAACGAGCTTGGTTTCAAGGCTTACCACCAAATGATAAATCAGTAGTGGTTCAAGGGTTGTATAAATCTATGCCGAAGTTTTTTAAACCAAGACTTGGAATGACTAAAGAGGAGATGATGATCTTCATTGAAGCTGCTGCTGAAAGTCCTGGTAATCCTTACTCTTCAGTATGTTACAGCCCACAGGCTGAGAAAGTTTACAAACTCTCTAATCCTCCTGCTGATCTCCATAAAGTTGGGACACTTGTAACTCCTGATAATGATATTTATATAGCAGGTGGGCAAATCCCACTGAAAAGTACAAAAATCAACTACGGTAAAACTAGCAAATTTCAATTTGCCTTCCGTACTGTGAATTGTTTCTACTGGTTTGATGCCCAGCAAAATACATGGTTTCCAAAGAGTCCAATGCTATTTGTTCGTATAAAGCCATCTCTTGTTTTCTGTGAAGGCCTTATCTATGCAATTGGTGGAGACAGTGTTGGTGGAGAACTTGACAGAAGAACTGTAGAAAGATATGATACTGAGAAAGATGAATGGACCATGGTAAGCCCTCTGCCCTGTGCTTGGCAGTGGAGTACAGCCGTTGCTGTTCATAATTGCATTTATGTAATGGCACACAACTTGATGTATTGTTACTTCCCCAGATCAGATGCTTGGGTTGAAATGGCTACAAGACAAACTAATAGATGCTTTGCTTCAGCTGCTGCTTTTGGGGATAAAATATTTTATATTGGAGGCTTGCATGTTGGTGGCAATCTTGGTATAGGATTACGTCCTCGGAGTGTAACTGGACCTTCCCTAGCAGTGGAAGTTTATGATGTGAATAAAAATGAATGGCAAATGACAGCCAAAATCCCTGCCAAGCGGTATTCTGATCCCTGTGTCAGAGCTGTTGTGATTTCTAACACATTGTGTATCTTTGTACGAGAAACGCATATGCATGAAAGAGCCAAATATGCTACATACCAATATGACATGGAACTTGATCGTTGGTTCTTGCAACAGGATATATCTGAGCGGGTACTCTGGGATTTGGGAAAAGATTTCCGATGCACTGTGGGAAAACTATATCCATCTTGTCTTGAAGAGTCCACATGGAAACCTCCATCATACCTAGTTTTTCCTTATACAGATGATGAGTTTGAAATTGAGGAGGATGTTCCATTACCACCTGTATAGCTCCCTTATTCAGATACTGCATGCCTATAACTAATGAACATTGTATTTGAGAGACTAGAGCTGCAAAATGAAATGTTAAGTTGTCTTGTATGTATGCCCTAATTTTTTTGTGGCCATTGAGTTTAAATCAGTAAAACATATTACTAGATATGCCTTCATAATATCAGTCCCTCTGATAGTTGATGGAAAACCTCTCTCTCCCTCTCCCTCCCTCCCTCTCACACACACACGTGTGTGTGTTTGTGTGTATGATCATATATGTATCATGATTAGATGTATTATCTATATATTTCAAGCTTAAATCCTCTGCTTATTGTCTGAATTTTTAGTCCTGTGAGTTCTGGAACTTTTCACAAAGCAGCTTCTACTTCTAGAAAGTTATATTAATTGCTCAAAATACCTTTGTTATATTTAAATCTGGAAATATCTGTACGTGCTAGTTATATAAATTGTGTAGCTGAATGAAATGTGCTGCACTCAATACACACAGCTGTATTGATGTAATAATACCATGTAAAAGAATAAAATCCCATGGATCTACCTGTGGTAGGAAGGGTAGATCTTCCATTTTATGGTGATATGCAGGGCAAAATGACTGCAGGTTCAGTCGAGCTAGATGATGCTGATGACTAGGTGCATGTATTTTCACTAACATACCTGTTTATTTAGAATACAGGTCTTCCGAGCAGCTGGTAGTTTACCAGGTGTGAACTGACATTGCTGGGCTTGCAGTAAGAATTGCTAGCCCTTCATAGTGCGGGTCTCTGGAGCTTTTAATCAGTAAACAGCTCTATGTTCTGTATTTTGGAAACATTGGCTCATTAATATTAGTTCCTGCTACTTATTTTCCCCTACCCCAGTATATACAAAAGTATAGTGTGAATTAACCACATCTTTATTTTTGTTAATTTATATTACTGTAGTATGTCTTTGTAAAATAATCTTATAATTGTTTGTCTCTTATTTTTTCCTGTGGGGTTGGGGGAGATAAATTTTGTTCAGGAATATTTTGTGCAGAGGAGAGGTTGTCTGATGCTGCTCTGGCATTAATCCCAGGAACCACTAGCAGAAGTAAGGCACCATCAATCTCACATGAGACCAGATACTTCATGATGGATCATACCAGCATGTTCAGCTGCATTATGTTCTGGCACTGTATTTTGAATGATATTAATTTATTAAAAAGAATCAGTTTGTTCTCCCCCCCCCCTCACATGTCTGTATTTGTCTGGAATTATTGAAGTATGATTAAAACAACAGTTTTTAAAATTGCTGTTTATAATATAAATACTTACAGTAGTAGATTCAGGTGTTCAGAAAAATCTGAAAAAGATATGAGCAAGTGACTTCTATTATTTCTTTCTGTTTGGAGGTAAACAAATGTTTGAAAACAGAAGAAAAATAAAATGTGATAAACGCCCTATATGTTAAAGACCATGCAGTCTTTTAACACATAGGCCTTCTTCATAGACAGTATTCACAGTCGTCTTATTACACAAAGTCACACTAATGTAAATATACTCAAGGAGTAAACTGAATCTTTGCCTCCAGCCATTTATTTTTGTCCTCTCGGATTTCTTACATCTGATTTTTGTTTTTTTCTAACAAAAAACTATTTTCCTTAATCTTTAGACTAGATCTTATATTACTTTGTGGTAAAATAATCTCTGCAAACTGGAAACTGACATTCAGCCCAACTCATAGAAATTATATGGTTGTTATCAGTCAATTTTGACAATGGAATAAGCAGCATTCAGAACCTATCTTTCTTATTGCCCCTTTTTCTGGGTCAATTGCTCATTTTTCAAGAGTTTATTAAAAACTTTCTAGTTTTGAAATTATCCATTTTGGTTAGGATAGAATGTTGTAGCAAAACATTCAGAGTTTTATGATTAAATATGCCATTAATTAATTAGCAAACTTTTTCATGACCTTTGAATAGATGTCAGTTTGTGATAAACCAACCAAAACTAAAGCTTGCTGCTTGAAAAATAAAAACAAAACAAACCCAACTAAAGAGATTTAGATTAAAAAGAGGAATGGCAGAAGTTACAATATATGGCCACAGAAATTTGTGTATAAAGTAGGTATCTTATACTTGAGCATGTTGGTGTTGGATTAGAATAGTTCCCTTTAAGAAACATTTGATTTGATGTATTAAATGCTGCTGATCTTTTGTTTTTTAATTTGGGCTCCTTTTGTCCCTGTAAAAATGTAAGTATAAAATTGTTTGTGGAAAGGGAGGCATTGAGATTATGCTAATCTGAACTCAAAT